CAAATGAGTAATTTAAAAATGATTGAGTTTAATTAAAATTAAATGTAAATTATATTAGTTTATTAAAAAAGGAAATCACAAATAGATATATATGCATGTATGTTCATTTATAAAGACATTTAATACAAAGAAAATGTGGCATATACCTGCAAGTCTCGTCTGATTTGACTCCATATTAATATCATAGTTTATAGTGAACTGGACTTGATTATCTTTACTTTTTTAATAAGAATTAAAAATGACAGGTGTGTAGTGGTATTCCAGTAATAATAATATGTGTTTACAATGATCAAATCAGTAATCAATATATCAATCATATATACAATTTACATATGAGGAATGCTTGGGGCAAAGCTTTTCGCGATTTTTTTTTCCAGCTCCATGCCTTCTTGGCATTTTCTTTGCGATTTTCAAAATGAAACTAAATTTCAGATTTTCAACTAAATTGCAGCATATTTGTTTTGAAAACTGTTTATAAAAAAAGCTCGTATTATAAATACTTCAAATAGGTCAATTATATTTTTTGCGATAAAAATTCATCCTCAATGTGGCTTCAATAAAGGTTATACACATTGAAGTGTAAATATTATGAAGTTTTCGAAAATTTTTCCAATCCCTACATAATGCATGAAGAGAAATTTTAGAGTTAAAGCAAGAATTATACGAATGCAGTCGACAACTAGCCTTTTGTTTAAAATGCATCAAAATAAAAGATAAAATGATATTAGCCTTTTCTACACTTCTATGTTTCCATTTGTTGATTTCAACATCTTTAGATATCACATTACTAAACTGCCAAATTTTCAATAATATTTATTTAATTCAAAGTGTGTAAATCAACAATAAATATATTTACAACAGCACACTTAATTAATTAATTGCATTAAAAGATAATCAGATGAAGTATTTCGCTATGTAATTGTGGTATCATCAATAAAGCTTACAAACTTATGGATATTATATTCAAACAAAAGCCGATTATTTTCATTAATTATTTCGAACTATGCAATTCGATGAATTTTCGACATTTCGGATTTACACATTATTTTCATGCATATATTATGCCTTTAGCAACACCAAGTACACACAAACCTGAGATAAACGTGTGTGTGTTCTTTTAAGCGTATTTACAAAATGTCTACATTCCAGAGAAATGCTCTATTAAATTATAACAGTTCCTGCATTTAATGGTTTGTACGATCTGCTATATAAGCACATATTTTCCATGCATGGCTTCGTGACCCTTTTTGCCCTAATAAGTGGATCGTACAATATGTTTATATTTTAGATATTAAAAACTCAAATTCCAATTTTGCTACAATTTTATTTAATTTTCGAGGGATTACAATCTTTCGCATTCAGGAAATGTGTCCGTACAAAACCTTTTACCACACCGGGCGAATTTAATTTTTATGCAACGCCAAACATAGACAACATTGTTAAAAACTTGATAATGTCTATTTTCCAAACAATTGCTTTTTTAATCATTTTATGTGAATTACAACACAATATTGACTAAAATCGGTCAAAATGACCTCATTCTAAAAGAATTTTTATTGTGTAAAGATTTTTTAAACCTATTTTTTAATATTTTTTACATTATTTACAATCATACAAAACGTTGTTATACCCTTCACCACACTGTGGTACAGGGTATTATGTCTTTGTGATAGATAGATAGACCCATGGTTCCTTTTGAGAATATGCATAGAATCACTTTCTGAGTCGATTTATGCATGTCCGTCCGTCCGTCCGTCTGTCCGTCTGTCCGTCTGTTGATGTTAAATTGTAAACAAAGTACAGGTCGCATTTATAATCCGATTTGGCTGAAATTTGGTACAGCTCATTTATTTGGCCCAAAGACGAACCCTATTGAAATTGGGAAAAATTGGTTCAGATTTAGATATAGCTCCCATATATATATTTGTCCGATTTACGGACTTTAGTCCCTGAAAATCTTTCGATTTGCACGAAATTTGGCATAGCGTACTGAATTGAGCCTCGAAAGATGTGTGCCAAGTTTCGTGAAAATCGGTTCAGATTTAGATATAGCTCCCATATATAGTTTCGCCCGATTTTAGGTAAATGGTGCACCAAAGTCCCAGAAAATCTTTCAATTTGCACGAATTTTGGCATAGCGTACGGAATTAAGTCAAGAATGACGTGTGCTAAGTTTCGTGAAAATCGGTTCAGATTTAGATATAGCTCCCATATATAGTTTCGCCCGATTTTAGATAAATGGCCTACCAAAGTCCCTATATATCCTTAGATTTGCACGAAATTTGGTATAGCCTACTGAATTAGATCTAGAATGATGTGTGCCAAGTTTCGTGAAAATCGGTTCAGATTTATATATAGCTCCCATATATAGTTTCGCCCGATTTTAGGTAAATGATGCACCAAAGTCCCTGAATATCTTTTGATTTGCACGCATTTTGGCATAGCGTACTGAATTAAGTCTAGAAAGACGTGTGCTTAGTTTCGTGAAAATCGGTTCAGATTTAGATAGAGCTCCCATATAGTTTCGCCCCATTTGAAGTTAATTGTCTACCATAGTCCCTATATTCTTTCGATTTACACGAAATTTGGTATAGCCTATTGAATTAGGTCTAGAACGATGTGTGTTAAGTTTCGTGAAAATCGTTTCAGATTTGGATATAGCTTCCATATATAGTTTCGCCCGATTTTAGGTAAATTGTGCACCAAAGTACCTGCTAATCTTTTTATTGGCATGAATTTTGGTATAGCGTACTAAATTAAGTCTAGAATGATGTGTGCTAAGTTTCGTGAAATCGGTTCAGATTTAGATATAGTTTCCATACAAAGTTTCGTCCGATTTTGGGTAAATGGTGCACCGAAGTCTCTGAAAATCATTCGATTTGCACGGATTTTGGCATAGCGCATTCAATTAAGTCTAGAATTATGTGTACACCTTCTATATATATTTTCGTCCGATTTTAAGTAAATTGTGCACTAAAGGTCCACAGCTAGGCCGATTGACACAACGTAGTGAAATTAATATAAATTAATCTCGGGCAAGGTTTGCTTCAAATAGGTTCAGATATAAATATATCGTAGCTTCCATATATAATTTCGACTTATTTATGTCTATTGTACACCAAATAATCAATAGGTGTATGATTGAGATTAAATTTTAAACTGTGCAGCATACCGAATAGCGTGTGTCAAGTTTGCTTTAAATCGATTTACACAAATCTGTCCCACTGTGCGCAAACGACTCTAAACTTGCCCAAATTAAATGAAATTTAGCATAGGTTCCAGAAAGACATAACAATCATATATTTAAGTTCGTTCAATTTCATGTCAAAATTCCTTCGAAAAGGCGACGTCTTTTCTGATACATATGTTGAATATACCCAAGGTGGTGAAGGGTATGTTGCCCAACTTTATACTTTCCTTACCAAACGGTTTTCGATGTTGTTGTACTGATCTGGTTATATAAGAAATTTACTTTATACAATAATAAAAGTAGTTTGATTATTTAATATTTCAATGACCGATTTTATTAATATAGGTATAGCACATGTGAATACGGGGAATGAAAAAGAGGGGATGCAGCTACTATTAATTAATAAACGTAGTAATTAATAAACGTAGTTCTATGTGGCACAAAAAGTCACCAAATTTTAAAAAGCTGTGTCATAATATACACAATTGTTTTTGTACTTGAAATCGATCAAAATGACCGCCCTCGTTAATCTAGTGTCTGTGCGTACCATCGATGCAGAAAATCAAAGCTCGATTGTATGTCTTTTGTCAAGTTTCCACAGCACATTGAAATTAAAATTGCAAATTTAGTTGCTTAAATAATAAATAAAAATTGCTCGTTTCTTAAATTCTTCCTGTTATTCTTTTTCTTCCATTTTCTATTTAGAGATCAGGAGCAATTTCTGTGCATTCCACATCAGTAGATTTGCACAGAGCCCCAGAACTCAACGGAAGGAAATAGACCAACGAATCAACTACAAAAACAAGAACAACAACAGAAACCACCTACAACTCAATAATCAACCTACACGCAACCAGAATACGCACCCCAGAGAACGAACGTTGTGTAATAACTGCTTGAACACGAAAATAACAATAAGGAAAAAAATAGAAAACATATCGGACTACAAACCCCCTCCGAATACGCAAATCAAAGTGCAAGTGACATTTCGCGAATAATCCAAGTCTTGTGTGCCACAACCGGGTATGATTTCCATAATTGAACACAGCCACCAAATGTAAAGTACCAAGCGAGAAATCAACATATCTTTGGCTTAGCGCTCCGACGAAAGACATCAACGTGAAATAAGCAAAAAACTAAAATTCGATTATAGTTGACCCCATCTGACATCATCTATCATTTGGCACAACAAAGAGCATCACTTGATATCCTTGCCATGAGGGAATAAAGGAAACGACATTCCAATCGACCAAGGGAACACAAAAAAACTGAAAAAATACATGAAAAATGATACAACCTAATACGATTATGACCAACAAAAATATTCGCACAATAGCAAAGTATCATATTCTGGACCAATAACAATAAGCATTAAAAACCAGGGGAAGCATACAAAAAGCGCAGGAAAATAAACAGATCTCCACAAAAACGAAGCAAAGAAACCCATCAGCAACTATCACAAAAACGAAGAAAATGTATACAAAATAAAAAAAACACAATCGAATTAATTTTATTGTCATTACAAAACAATACAACAATCATCGCTCACACACACAAAAACGAACAAACGCGACAAAGAAAGGAAACAAAAAAACAACACTCAAGAATTACAAGCAAAATAGCACATTAAGGACGACATTTATCCCCATGCGTCATTTGTCATTACAACAATCGTAGAAGAACAAAGTGCATTGTCATTGCCAGCCAGCAATACGACCAAACGATTTGTTCAATTCGCATTTAGTTTCCTCCTGTCAGATATTGGACGTTAATATTGCAAGACAAAGATCGAATCGCGAGGAGACACGATCGCATTGCCGGCAATACACGAATAGGCCACGAATGCTAAACGTGTGACAAACGCCTTCGGGTTCTCCTCCACTGCACCAATATCATCATTGGTCTTGTAGCAGGAAGTACAATTGAAGGAGCTGCCACAAATGTTGCCCACATTAACGCCAATGCATTTGCTGGAATTACGTCTCATCTTACTTTGCCTGCCATCCATTATACTGGCCACAACACTGGAGCCAGGTAAGTGGAACCAAATATTAATAAATATATTGCCATTCGTTCAGTGCATCAGTTTTTATTTATTGATTTTTGAAACATTTTTAATCATCCTGGCAATGAAAACATAGTTCGAAGTGCTCTTTTTAAACCTATTTTAATATTTCAATAAAATAATTAACCATTTCATGGGCTATTAATAAATCAACGAAATCGATTGACAAGTTTTTAGTTTTTTATAGAACTTACGTGCAATTTAATTTTGTTCTTAAATCTCTTACAATAAATTTCATTTATATTTGTTAACAGAAAACCTTTTTACATTCTCTTTTAGGGAAATTAATTTTATAAGAATGATTTGCAAATATATATATTTTTTTACCAATATTATAGAATAGTTTAGCCAAAAAATAACAATTTTTGAAATTATACCAAGTTGTGAACCTTTACCGATAATTATTTCTAAGTCCTTAAAAACTTCAGCCAATTCGATTTGAAAATGTGACTGTGATTATAACAGCACCCAAAAGATAAACCCAGGCTACAACTCGAATTTCCCATTGTCAAAAACCGCACCCAATTGAAATCTAAAACAAATATGCTGCATGGTTGGTTATTTTTTCGTGGTGACTAAAACTCAATTTATAGTCCATGAAAAAAACAAACGCATTTTCATGTATTAGAAATTTAATAAGATCAAAAAATTACCCATATTTTCTTGCAAATACTCACCGACAAGTCTTTCGAATGTATTGAGCAGCACTGATATTTTATTAATCTCCTTTTGGTATGATGACTTTATATATCTACATATCCTTGTTATGTAATAGGGATAGATGCACACCATCCATGGCACTATAATATCCTCACCACTTTGTTCAACAAAGCCGTCTGGACTCGAATATTTGTAAGAAGAGAATCGTTCATAAACCCTTTGAAATGCTATAAAACCATTAGGTAATTAATTTTTCATGGTTTTGCTTTGATTTGGTGTTATTTGTACTTTAGCAAATACATGCATTAGACCATTGTACCTGCTTGGGTGCAACTGCAAAATCATGAAGTAGTTGGTCCGTCAATTTGGCCCGTTTGAAACAAATTCCTCCTGGTACAGGTGGCATTTCTTATCCGGATAAGATAATTTATTGGCTCAAAGTCGAAACCAATTGAAAAATCCGTTTAGGTCTACATATAGTTTCTATATATTTTTACATATAGTTTCTATTTTTTAGTAGACTTTAATGTGAATGGTGCACCAAAGAACCAAAATTTGTATTAATTTCTCTTTCGAAATGAGCAACATGATCGAAGTTGCAATGAAATGGAAAGCCAGAGCGATACTACATTCCCACCATTACGCGACGCGTTTCGCCGTTGGTTAAGCGGCTCATCAGGCATATTGTGCAAGGTGTCTTACAAATGTCGTTACTTGATATATTGTATTTATGTCGAATATTGTTGCTGAATTGCATCTACGATTTAAATTCAACCGTGTCAAGGTTCGGACATTTGGCATCACACCAGAACATTCCTTTTCATTCCTTGTCTCATTAACATATCCCGTTTACAGTTGACTCTATCATGGCCTATATTAAGTTATATATATATATATAAATATATATTTTCGTCTGATTTAATGTAAATGGTGCACCAAAGTCCCTATATATCTCTCCGTTTGCACGAAATTCGGCACAGCGTAATGAATTAGGTATAGAATAATGTGTGTTAAGTTCCCTGAAAATTGGTTCAGATTTAGATATAGCTCCCATATATATTTTCATATCGCTCCCATGGGGTACCAGTCCCTTAATATCTTTCGGTTTGCACGAAATTTGGCACAGCGCAATGAGTTTGGGTTAATTGCTGTGTGTTAAGTTTCCTGAAAATGGTTCAGATTTAGATATAGCTTCTATATCTGACCAAATGAAAAATTTAGTATCGGTTGCAGAATGACATATTTATTGATCCAATTTCATTTTACTGGTCCTTTAAAAATGCGACGTCTGTTAGGATTCATCTGTTGAATATACCCAAAGTGGTGAATGGTATCATATAGTCGGCCCCGTCCAACTTTACTATTTTCCTTACTGGTTATATTTAGATTTAAGGGCGCAGGAAGAATTCAGTGAACATTTTTTTGTTTGCATTCCTGCAATCATATCTAACATAACTAATGTTTTTTCCATCATATATATTACCTACTAAAAAATTATTATAAATTTCCGTAAAATGCCATAGGTGAGGCACATTTGAACTTGCCCAGTAAACTCCAGTAAAAAAACTGATTTATTAATTTTGGGCTTCGATTTTTCTACATTTCAAATGGGTTAATAAGACTACGAAATTAACTGTAATTGTAACTATATTCATTTTTGGTATTTAATTTCATCTCTTAGTGTCCAATTTATTCCGAATTTTCATTCATCTTCTTCATTCATCATGTTCATCTTCTTCTTCATATTTTCACAATTGAACTACGATTTTGTATTGCTTACTAAATACGTTCAGTTGATGTCTAATATTTGGTATTTAAAACATTCAATATTTTTGTTTAAACTTTCAAACATTGTGTTGGTGGTGTGCAAACCATTGTCAACCAGATAACGCAATTTATAACAACAACGTGCAGATGTACAAATAAACAAACAAGATTTTCCATTTACCTTCATTCTCGCCATTCTAGAACTGAAATGTCCATAACGAATTTCAGTTGTGACGTGTAATAATTCCTTGGCCCACTTATCTGATTAACAAAATGTAATAACTTTTCAATTTAAGTCCTTCCGCCTACCTCCAAAGATAACTTCAGTCTTGTGGTTAAGGTAGATCATTTGCATTTCCATAAGATTTGCCGCGGCCTTTTTTGGGTCCACTGTCCTCCCATTTACTGTTCGCACAAATAATTTATGCCGTGAAAACCACAACAATTGACAATGGAGCCAAAATGTGTCACTACTGTTGGTTGCCAGGGGATGTATGGTGCGGTTGGTAAACACGCTTCTAAGGCCGCTATTTTTGTAGAAATATTTTGAAATTCGAATTGAAATTTATGCAAAAAAAGGGAAGTCCAACACAAATCCCAAAAGTTAACATAAACAAGCATACCTGCCCAATCCCCTTCTACTTCGACATGGCATTAACAAACGGCTAAAATCAGTTGTTTGCCGTTGTTGTTTTGGTGATGGTGGTCAGAGCTGACAACACCAGCACAAAATTCACAGATAATGGCGACAAATGGCTTGAACTGCTAGTCACTGGCACGGGAGACAGTGGCAAGGACAGCCATGTCCTTTGTGCTAAGTAATTTTACTTGTTGGCGTAGGTATCTGTTAATCTGTCCCCAGTGTCTTTTTATTACACCTTATTATTACGCAGCTACACTTGGTGGATGTCGAAAATTCCCATCGTACGATTGTTTTTGCAGCTGCACGATGGTGGGGTATCTGTTAGCTGGGCACCGCCAAATGAGGAAAAGCAGGCGTTCTTTGTTACCAGTTAAGGTCACACCAAAAGGCCCTCCAACAAATGTCGCGACATGAGATGTACATTTCAGATACTTAATATTTTGGAATTGCTTCGCATATTCCTATTAGTTTTGTTGGTTTCCAGAGATACTGGCAACGGCCGAATTAGTATTCACATTTCAACGACACTGAAATGCTTTGTGCGGAATAAAGAGGTTGGTAATTTCTTTATTAATTTTTATTTGATAACACTTTAAGGGCAAACTTTGAAATATTTTAATGGCCATAAATTATGTTTTTGTGAAATATATTAAAAAGTTTCGCCTGCTTATTTGGTTGTGTTTGGCAAAATAAATCAAAACCTTTTTATGATTTACAGACAAGAAAAAACAATTTCCTTATAATTTAAACTTAGCAATTAAAGCAATGGTGGCGGAACACTCTACACAATACACCAGGTGCTATGGCGAAACATAATAAATATAATGGAAACATGAAAAGACTTTCAGAACCAGCAAAATATATTCAAATGGAACACTCAAACCCTGATAAAGACTACCGACAAGAAATTGCATCCAATAAATTTGTGAAACAATTTTATTGTATGCAATATAACTAAAATCTTTTAGCAGATATTTATTTTTTGTAGTGCTGCTTACCGAGAAATAAGATTTACGTTTTAATTTGAAAATTTGTTAGTTAATATAACGAAGCATATTTATAGGAACATGATTTCATGCATATGCTAAAGAGTTATTATTCATCGGGTAAAAGGGATGGAGTCTTGTAATTTTTTCTATACCGCCAATTGTTCTCTTAAACATATATATATATATATATATATATATATTATATTTGCATCACAATAGCTGGGCCGAATTAAATATTTTACAAAAAGATGTGAATTTGTATATAACATGCAAAAAAGATGATTTTATTAACTTTTAAAATAAACTAGAAATAACTATTCTTAGCCGCTGACCTGTACGACCATCCAATGCCAGCACGCCTACTGCAAATAAAAATGGGAAAGCGTGCTATATTATTATTTAAACCCAATTAATCTGAAATTTTACACTGTTTATTTATTATACCCAGGATGAAACCCAGTTGAAATTGGAATTGGAGAATCGGCTCAGGTTTAGTTGTAGCCTCCCAAAAAAGCTCTGAAAACCACATTTTTGGCCGATTTTTTGTAGAAACAAAATAATTCTATCTTTAGTCCTGCGCACATCATTAATTTACGAATATATAGTTTGAAATTGTTTCAAGTCCATTTTAGGTTCTGAAAGACATATCTTGGTTTTCTAGTAAAGTTTACAAAACATATTACGTTATATATTCTATCATGTGGCACAAAGCCACAAACAAAATACCACTTAACAATATTTTTGAAACAAATCAATACATAAATTTCTAAATAAAAAAAATCTTAAACCACATTAAGAAATTTTTAAACTGACATTAAACGGCTCAAATATTAATTTCTGACGATATAATAGGGAGAATGCATCGATATAATTCCAATATGGGAGAACTTAATAAATTTAAGACCTCCTA